TTGAAGCCGATGGAGAAAAGTGATGGAGGGAAGGAGGAAGAGGAGAATTCAGAAAAGAAAGACGATGCATGAGAAGGAGGCAAAAGAGAGAAGAGAGCAGCACGAGAGAGAAACAGTGAGGAAGATTGTGCAAGATATGAATGCCAGTAGCCCTGTGTGGATGAGTGTTAAAGATATGAATGGTATGTTGCGTGGTAAGAGTGAAAAAGATCAGAAGTATTTGTTGAAAGTGCAATTGAGGTACAGAAAGGTGATGAGGGATGAGCATGCAAAGAAAGGGCTATTGAATTTGTCAAGTGGTGGAAAGTTGCTGAGTGTGAAAGAGATGAGAGAAAACATGAGACAGGTGTTGATGAGTGATGAGTGGGTGGAGAAAGACAATGGCCAAGATGAGACAGCAGTGAACGGTGAAAGTGCAAGACTAAGTACTGTATGAATGCTGATGATTTTATAGGAAGATTGTTGGTGCATTGTACAGAGAGTGAAGGAAAACAGGAAAAGACAGTGTGTGTGATTGAGAGAAAGAAGCATGGGAAGTATGTATTTCGGTATGATGATGATAAGGATGAGTACACAAGAAAGCAAGTGGATGAAGACTGGGCAAATGAAGATTTACAAGAGGTGGATTTGTGTGCAAAGGATGTGATAGGATGTGAGATTGAGTATCTATGGTTGGATGAGGATGGAGAGGAAGTGTGGTATAAAAGACGAGAGCTAGGAGTGGGAGAGAATGGATTGTTTAATGTGGAGTATGAGCCGGTTGAGGGTGATGAAGATGATGATTGGGAGTGTGAAGTCCTGGCCGAGCCCCTGATGGATGATTATGCAGAGAGAAGTGAGGTTTGTTTAAAGCCCCGTCTGCGCTGGATACCTCCTCCTCCTTGTAATACCTTAGCAGTGACCCATCCATACCAAATTAATCAGAATTCAACAGTTTTGAGGGTGTTGAAGTTTGACAGGTTGTGTACTTTTCGAGTGCAGGGGCCTGGGATAAAGAGTACAAGCCATAATTAGCTCCAACATAGATATACAATTGACCAGGAACTGTGCTAGGGAGCGGCCGTGAGCTCACCCATGAATAAATGCCTGTGAACTCCCCAAAACTCTGATTTTCTATTGTAAGTACATTGGCTCATTTTGTTAGGTTTGGTACCATCCTTTTCTAATCAGTAGACCATGCACAGGCCCATCTGTACCAAACTGGCCAAACTCCAACAGTTGGAGTTTGCCAGGTTTAGTACTGTATGCCGTATGAGACCTGTTGGAGTTTAGCAGGTTTGGTACCAGGAACTACTGAAATTGTGTACAGCTGTTGGAGTTTGTTAGATTCAATACTATTTCTAGTGCAGGGCCTAGGGAGTTAGGGTTAGTGTTTGAGTTTTTCTTAAGTGGAATAATCCAACCTCTTGTCTCGAATCAGTTGCAATCTGTAAAAGAACATAATTTCATGATACATGTACGTTCTTAAGATGAAGAAATGTCCCTCTATACTCTGTCAATTGGGAATACACGGGGGCGAGACAACCATAGACAAAGCCGTTGCTCTGATCTGAGTCAGAGTATGTTGTGGTGCATGTAGGGAGTCTACCAACTTCTTGTCTCCGGGTGTCATGTCCCTCGTGTCAACGGCAGAGTGGGGCCAAGGTTTGCACGAAATCGGTACTCTACTGGTCGTGCATGCACTGAGGTCTAGCTTGACATTCCTACCTCTCGTCATAAATAATGAAAAGCCCTGTGATTGGTCCGTGTGATTGCAGCGTGTCGCAGCCAACTGCCATTTCAACCAGTCAGTCAAGTCACGGCTGAGAATGACACACACATATACAGAAAGTCGCTGTAGCCAATACCCATGTCTTGTGTATCGATCGCAGCCGTAATCAACCATTTGGTCGTAGCTCGTCTTCATAAGAACACATATGAACCAAGTGAATATAGACACAGAACAGGAATTATTTGCTTGATTTTGGACAAACAGCATAATGTGGGCTGGATTTGTTCTTTGCACATAACATGTAAATATGTAAGTTACCATACATAGAACTGTGGGGGGAAATGAATCCACGAAACTGTGGTACACAACCGAGAATTCGGAGGGTTTCAAAGAAATTTTGTACTGCGGGGTTCGCGGATGCGTAGCGGACGTTGGGCCCCAAAGTTCTGGGTGTAGGGCTAGATTTGGTTGTTTGCATTTATTCTCTACAGTGTGTGAAATCGTAAGTTTTTTAAGTAATATTGCAGGCCTATCGCAAAACTTAAAATAGTGCTGAATTTTTGGTTGATTTCATGGAGCATTTGATCTTCGTATGACATGTGTAATGTATCGAGTTTGCACATTTATAGATTGGACATATTGTTTGACGGTCCCTTGACTGTACATTGACGCACCCCATACACGCCCTCAGCCTTTTCTGACACACCAAAATCGTACGATTTTGAATCAAATCAATCATCCAACCAAACTGCCTTGTGCTCCACCAAGATGACAGCATTCCTCCAAGGTGACTAACTTACATGTACCGTGCAAGCTAAGGCTTCAAGTGCAAGTCAGTTTGTGAACTGACTCACGAGAAGACATCTGAGCCAAGGAAATACATGTACTTACCTGACTTTACCTGATTGTCCATGCACCAGTCTGTCAGTGTGAAGTAACATGTATGATCAGCCGACACCTGCAGCTGGCCGTGGTGATCAGAATGTAGGCACAAACGAAGGAACAGCCTATAGTCATACTGAAGTGCACTGTACATGTACAATGTGCCTCCGTGTACACACTACGCCGACATTCGGCGAAAATCAACCATGTCAAATTGGATTCCGGGTCTACAACTATTAAACCACGATCCGATCAAGCTGAATGATTTTCCCCCAGTAACGAAATTGGGTACGGAGCTCAGCTCAGTCATGTCAGTCTGGCGTGGATCCTGGAAGTAAGAAAATCAGACGCACGGTGCACTCTCGGCCAGATCATGACCAGATCCACCCTTGCAGTGTATTTTTCTGGGAAACAAGGGTCATGAAGGTGTAGGCCTAACATCAGTACATGATATGACTTCACGAAGGGCCGTGGTGTGCCATACAATGCCGACCGTACCCGTGCCGAGGCCCAGGGCTCACTACTTCTGGTAGTTCTGCGTTCTGTACATGCACACGTAGAGCCATGTATGAACAGACGCACGACGATCACCCTCGACCAGATCCTCTAGAAAGTACTTTTCTGGGAAACAAGGTCATAAAGGTGAAGGTTTAACATCAGTACATGCATGACTTCACGAATGTACGGTACATTACCCTCAGGGAGCTACGGTCACGTGTACGGCACTTCTGGTTTCTTCCCCGGCCACTTCCTTCCACCGAGTTTATGAATAATGCAAAACTTGTCTGGAACCACGCCCTCTAAATAGACATGAATAATGCAACAGAAAGTTCGCCACATACCTGCAAATGGTCGCTTCTTTGAAAACGTGCATTTAATCTGAAAGACGTCTGGGTATATAGCCGGACAAAACGGAAATGATTTTAGAGACGAAAAAGGAAAGGTAGTTTCAAAATCGAAGGCGAATTCGGGCTCAATGAATGAAGGGAGAAAAAAATGAAACGCCTTAAAAAAACTTTGGGGAAACAAGCGCCCTCAGGTATCCACAACAGCATGGACTTTCAATAAGTGCACTTTTCACCGCGATTGACCAAACAGGGGTTTAAAATACTTTTGATTTGTTGAATAAGAGCATAAAATTGTATGAAAATTGTGCCTAAGAAAGTAACTGCAGGTACAATTTTAAGACCTAAGATCCAAATTCGTGCACTAAGTGTACTTTCATTTAGGAGGAAAAATAAATGACAGGTCTCCTGAATTAGGGCAGATCGAGGGGTTGCCAAACTGTTAAGTATATTCCTGAACAGTACACTCCTCGTTAATCAAAAAATCAATATATCCCGTGCTGAAAGGGATAAACTTTGTTGTGAGACTTTGTAGGGAGCGTTTTCAGCATTAATTGTAACGATGCATACTGGAGGTGTTTCGCGCACAACCCTTAAAAAGATGTGGTCGGCTTTTGTCGTGTATTTGTAATTTTACCAGTCAGTCTTGCTATATGAAAGTTTAACGTATCTTATAAGCAGTTCAACAAAAATGATCATACAAAACTAAATTGTATTTTAACCCATTCTGCTTAATGTCGTCACGGTAATTCAGTTGTCGGGTGGAACGACATTTTTAAATAAGACGCCACCTTAATTCATTTTAGAAATGGACGATAAAATAATGAGAATTGGAAAAGAAAATTGAAAAGGAGAAGATCGGCGCTTTTTTTCATCTTAATGCCTATCTACATGTATACACTAAGTCCTCTATTGTTCAAACTGCTACATAATTGTCTCGACTGTCCTTGTATCCGCTCGAAAAATCATCGTGCATCATCAGCATCATCACGTGCCATACTCTGCTAGAGCCTTGACGACCATTTTCTATGTTTCGACCTTGCAGCACACCCCAAAAATTGAGATAACGTGTTAAATTATGAAGCCCAAACTTGAGAGGGCTTATGCAGTTTTTCTAAACTGAAATTGAAGTTTTGGTTTTTTATTATGAATTTGGCGGGATCAGTTGAAATCTGATCAGAAATTTTGCTGCCATTCAGTCAGCTGATGCACATCCACCAGTCAACTGAGGCAGGATTCCGTGGATTGTGATTCGCTATCACTACATTATTTCATAGAGATGCAATCACCATATCTCAATGGAGTAAAATTGATTTCGTATTAACCCAAGCAAAACAGAAACAAAAGCTTTGAGTGGACAGACTCACTCTGAGACCGTTTCATATAAAAATGGAAACAACGAGCGGAGACGATGAGGAAGATGGATTTTACCTGGATGTAAGAAGAGGCAACAAGAAGGGATTCTGCTGAATTGCTGCATTAATTCCAGAATACCCGCGCAGCTAAGTAATAATTTGAAACATAATTCATTTTGCTATTTGAGTAAAGCTTATAAACAACATTGTTTAAAGTAGATGTTATGTTTGAACAATTTTGTTTTACATTTGAATTTCAAACAGTGTTCTTATTGTACATGTTGAAACAGCATTGGTTGAATCATTTTTGAAAGCGCAACATCTCCGGGACGCTGCTTTCCACACCTCGAAATTTTATTTACAAACTAAACAATAGCCATTGAATAGACAATGACTAGACCCCAACCCAACTTTAGAATTTAATGTTGAGCTTCTGAAGCCTGAAAAGAGTGACATGTTTTTGACGTTGTTTGCATGTCCAGTTCGGATCTGATAACCCCCTGCAGTTGCAGAGCCTGTCGAAAAAAATATGATTCCAAGTTCTTTGCAGACTGTGGAGTCAGGGTGCTACAATGATACTTGTCGTGCTTGTCACCTGTGTGACCAAGGATTAATTCCCCGGGGGACAGTATGTGGATTGTGTGTTCAATCCTTTTCCGATTTTGTGGGTTTACTAATGTTATTTGTCCAGGAGTTTCCTCTTCCTCTAAAACTGAACATGTCCTCATTTTCCCACACTTATTTACTTACATTTGTGAGCTATGTTGCCTTAGATTTTAAAGAATCAGTTTCCCAACAACAAACAGAATACAATAAAAGAAAGTGTATTGTTTTAACATTTTTGTTAAACATTTTTGCATCCCCACGATCTGCCCTAAGTCAGTAGACCTGTCATTTATTTTTGCCCCTAAATCAAAGTGCATGTAATGCATGAATATAGATCTTAAGTCATAAAAGTGTAGCTGCAATTATTTGTCTCAGGCACAGTTTTTATACAATTTTACACTCTAATTCAACAAATAAAATTTATTTCCTCCTGTTTGGTCAAACGCATTGAATAGTGCACCCATTTCTTTGAAAATCCATGCTCCTCTGAACAACTGAGGGCGCTGATTTTCTTCTCCCCTCCATTAAGCCCGAATTCCCATTGATTTTGAATTTATCCCTCCCCTCCTTCGTCTCTAAAACCAATTCCCTTTTGTCCGGCGATTATACCGAGAGGTCTTTAAGATTCAATACGTGTGGTTACGGCCATCTGCAGGTAGAATATGTAGCAAACTTTCTGTTTCATTATTCATAACACGTTTAGGGGAGTGGGGATTCCAGAAAATAGTTTGCTATAAATATGTAACTTTCTTGGAGGAAACACCCACACCAAACAGAAAAATACTGCATTATTCATAATGTGGTGGTAGGGGAGTGGCCCTGGAAGAAACCGGATAGTGCTGTGCACACGTGGCCATAGGTCCACCAGGACAGTGTGCATGTACTATGTATAGATGTACTGTACATGTACATGTACAGTGTTCATGTACAGTACATGTACATACACGTGTACTACCTGAACAGTACATGTAACATGTACAAATGTACTTGTGTACAAGAATGCGGAACTACCAGTAGTAGTGAGCCCTCGGTCCAATCTTATCGCCCACCAGAACCTTTTGTGACAGTCATATTTTTATGTATGTACAGTACATGTACATGTACATACATGTACATACTGTACATGCCTTCCTTAATGACCTTGTTCCTCAGAAAAGTACAATACGGGGATCTGGTCGAGAGAGAGTGATCATCATACATGTACATGTACGTATGACTTTCTTACCTCCACGCATGCAGGTAGGAAATGCTCCACGCTAGGCTGAGCTCCGTTTCCTGATTTCGTTAGTGGCATGGCTGGAAGATAATTATCCGACTTGATCTGATTTTATCTTTTCCTACCTCCATGGTTGTACTGATAATGTAAGACTTGAAATGGAGGGACAACGAACCCAAATTTGACATGGTTGATTTCCGCGGAATGTCCAAGTGTGTATGTGGGCACTACTACTAGTGCACTTCAGTACAGTGTACCCATTATGCAGGTGGTTCCTTCGCTACTGCCTACATTCCTGAATCAACACGCCAGCTGCAGGTGTCGGCTGATCATTTACTTCACACTGACAGACTGATGCGTGCATGGTTAATCAGGTAAGTCTGGTAAGTACATGTACATGTATTTCCTTCATTCATATGTCTTCTTGTGAGCTGATCTAGGTGAAGCATAAGGCAGTTTTGTTGGATGATTGATAGCCATACACCATGATCTACACAACTATCAAGTGTTGATCCTGATGGAAACATGTTTTGTAGTTGCTCTGAAGCCACTGACCTCTGCAAAACTGATCTTTTTGGCAATAAGCCTTATTGCTTACACACTCATCTTACCCGGCAAGCTCTTTGTTTTCACCTCCCATCAACTCGTACTTCTTTTGCACAAAAAACTATTAGATACCGGTCCAAAGTTATGGAATTCATTCAGTAATTCATTGAGACAAAGTAAAAGTTTTTCAACTTTTAAGTGAACCTTTAAATCCATGTTATTGAATGGTTATTGCTGATCTAATTAATTGTTGTACATACACTTGATACCTCATAGTCCTCAAATTGGCATTATGTACTGCCCGTTGTTTGTCCTTGTCTGTATTGTGTAATTTATGTTCTATAGGGTAACGTCTTTATAAGTCCAGTATTTGTTTTGAACCGTAATCACTTTTATTGTTGATGATTATAATAATTATATGCACGTTGTATTTTGGCTCAAAGCGCTCATTATATGTATGTACAAGGGCCCCATTTTCACAAGCTTAGCTTCTTTTGGGCCCCCCTTCAGTCTTCACTCTCTTGTTGAACCATTTTTTATAGATAATTATGTACATGTATTTATTTGTGAACACTGTGGAAATAAATGAAATGAAAAAATAAAATATGCAAGTACTGTACAGAAATGTACTTGACTGCACATCATCAAGGTGCAATGTGACTGAAGTTTTGAGAAAGTCAGTTGCATCCCACAGCCCAGCCACAATCACAGTCACAACCAAGTGGCTGCGGCTGGAAGCACTGTAGTACACATGTGTACGGGAGGTGGTCAGGCTGTGGCTTCCTAGAACGCATGTGGTATTCATGTACATGTACAGTATGCATGTATGTACATGCGTATAGTGTGATGTCGAGCCACGTTCTGTAGGTATGGTGTTCAGTACACCTACACGTCCATGTACATGTAGCAGCAAGAGTGCATGTGGATTCTGAAAAATCATCATTTTCCGTCTAAGTTCGCGCACCCTGCAGGAATCTTGGAGGATCTTGCATGGCAACCATGGAGCCTTTGCTGTGTGTATATTCCGTTATTTCGTAGAACCGTGGAGGAATTGTTGAATGAAGAAGAATGTGCCTGCTCCCTTGGATCAGCTGGCATGGTTGACTTTGTGTGACCTCGCCTCGACTGCAGTGGTAGTGGTGTGTACAGTACCTGCCGTGCCCGTACGTTGTATTTGGGCAATTCCGCGGAAACGGAATTACATTTCAGAACAAAATTGACTGTTATTTTCCATGCTATGAATTAGTCCTTTTACCTACCTAACTACAATATCTTTAATAAGGTCTGGCTATAGCCCTACCATCATACCAGTAATAAAAGATTAAAACTTACTACTTGTAGAAAGATCCAAGGACCAGGATATTTTGGTAACGAAATTACGTCAGAAAATGGACTTTTTCAAACATAATTTGAAAAGGAAATTCTCTGAAATCTATAACATGAAGACCACAGCTACACATTTATCTGTTTTCACTATGGTTTCAACTTTATTGCAGCAGTTTTAGAGTATTGATATTTACAAATATTCCATACTCTTTCATTTTTCAAAAAGAGGTAGTGGTAACGGAATTACACTTGTGAAATGTACCTTGAAAAATGCCAATTATTGAAAAGCAGTTATTTTTTTCTTACTCTAGGCATGTTTTTCAGCTTTAACCATATAAAATAAACCATCATTCAATGCATCTGTATGCATCGCTGAAAGATAATTCAATTTTTGTACCTAGCAACAAGAATTTACTGGAAAAGAACATGAAATTTCTAACTTGTGAACCCAGAGTTGTGATCAGAAGCCAGGAAGTTACTACAAGAATATTTCTTGGCTTCAAACTTTTTAATCCTGCTTCAGTTTGGGAGCTAACACTTGCTTCCATATATATCCAACAGTAAACATTAAACATGGTCACTGAATTACATACTTACAAACCACGAATTAGGAATAACCTAATGAGCTCCGAAATCACAATATAATTGACCATGTGTGCCAAATAACTTCATCTGACATCATGTGCATGATCCCAAAGTATTGAGATAGCCAACATGTGCTGAATGAGGTCATCTTTTGGCACAAATCATTCAAACTACAATAAACATTGAAAACAAAGAGTCTTGTACTACTGCAATGCAGTCATGTACACTGCAGGTATCTGGAGTGAATTACATGTACATGTATCCGAATACACGCTACCGTAGTTGGCCATCTCTTGTCAACTGGGTGGAACCATCCCCTAGGGCATGGTCGCACTGGTATTCAGTACATGTAGGAGACTTGTACATGTAGTGCTCAAAAAGAAAAAGAAAGGGTCTTGTGAAAGATTATTCAAAAAGGTGCCACTTACAATTGGACATGACTGCACATACAGTATTTAAGGTACCAATCATGTTTAAATTTTAGTTAACCACAGCTCTTATAATCCAAACTTGTGCCTAGTTGAAAGTAAATTGTTCTCTTCTATCCATCTGTGGTTCTTTGAGTACTTGAAAGCAGTCTGCTACAGTTCCTTCGAACACATGTCAATTTGCTTTCCCATCCCACTGCAGCCAACTTATTTTTTCTCAGCAGTGTCATCAGGAGGAGCAAGTTTCCCAATTCCCGGGCATTCATCACATTTTCCTGACATGCAATTTTCACTATTTTGGTCACATACAACCAGGGTAAGAAAACTGCGAAAATCAGTTGGAATCTGAAGGCCTGCCTTACTCAAGGATTGTAAGAGCAGGCACACATTCTCATGATATTTGCAAAGGCAGGAGTTGTGTGGTATGTCCCCTTGCAACTGGACTTGTTTTGTCTGAGTTCAGCAAACTTGAAAAATGAAATGTGATGGGTTGGGTTTTCATCCAGAAACATAGCATGGGCTTCTTTGAGTGAAGTGAGCATATAATGCTTCAGTATAGTCTGTTTTTCTTTTCCAAGTGCTCGAATTATGTGTCTTTCCGTCCAGGACACATCCATGATGTTGTCAAATAGAAATCAATTACTTTTTCCTTTGTCTCATTACTAATACCACTGTTTCCAGCACCACTCTCACCATCATCAATTCTTGGCATTTTTATGGTCTTGGAAGACAGCCCCACATCAGCAACGAGTGCTTCAACCACTGCTTTTCTTTTCCTGGGAGAATGTGGCAAAACCTTCATCACCTTCTGCTTGACTTTTCCCAAAGCTTGAGGTGACCTGAATGGAACATGCACTAAATTCATAACTTGAATTTGACCTGGAGTACATGCACATTTTGCAGAAGGTGAAGACATCACTTTTTTCTTAGCAAGATGTATTGCTACAGCTTTTTGATTTTTCTCTTTTTGCACAAGCTTTTCACACGCAGTCATTCTTGCACTTTTAGCAGACTTTCCATTTCTGTCCTTCTCCCTCACTGTTCAACTTCGTCAGGGTCCTGCTTTATACGCTCCCTGTATGCTCGCATCTTTTCTTTTGCTGTGAGAGGCATTTTACATGTACAGTGTACCTATGAACAAAGAAAAGATATTGGTCGGCTGTGTTATTTTGACTCAAACTTGTAGATTGAGCACATAGCCTATACATGTACATTTATATACTCCCCTTCAAAAAGGCTGATTTGAATAATGATTATTTTAATGAGCCCTCTTTATATAGGATTTCAAAAATAATTTTACCTTGAGCTCATTATATTCACATGTATAATTACAAGTACCTCAAACTTTTTTATGTGGTACTTTTTCAAGCATAGGCCTAAAAAGTCAACAACAAAATCTGTTTACATAGTTATTACACCTGGTGCCTTCATAGCATAATAAGCTCTTTAGATTAGAGTACACGTAATAACATCAAATAATATAATGCTGAGATAAACTATAATTATGTGTACTACATGTAGCTTGTTTGAGTACATCAGTGCTGCACATGTCATACATGTACACTGCAAGTAAGCCTATGTATGTACAGTATGTTAAGTATGCTTAAGTGAAAGTGCAAAATAATGCATTTTGTTATGAGTATGATCATTGATGCAAGTTCTTTTTAAGTAATCACTCATTTAAATTACCACTGTGAAAAGAAAGTGCTCCTGAATAGAATACTCACCAAATTTGTAGTCTTGTAGATGCATGTGCAATGTGCATATGCAAATAAGTCATAAATTGCTGCCTTCTAGTGGTACATGTAAAAGAAAGAAACATAATTGTGATTGCTGCCCTCTTTAACCAAACACGGCCGCAAGACATACATGATTCTGCAATGTAATTCCGTTTCCCCATGTAATTCTGTTACCATGTAATTCCGTTACCAATGTTTCCAAAGGAGTAAATATTTATATTTGAGAATTTAGTGTTTGAGGTTATTAGTAGGCAGATTAAGGAAGGAAATTTACAATGGTGGAATAATTCTGAAAGAAATGAGGCCAGGAGAAAAACTTCTGTAACTTTTTGGTAATGGT